TATTCAATGAGGAAAGAATATCTTTTCAACAAATGGTGCTGGGAAAACTGGATATGCACATGCAAAAGAATGAAGTTGAACTCTTACTTTAAATAACATATAAAAATTAACTCAAAAGGATCAAAGACCTAAACTTAAGTACTAACACTATAAAACTCTAAGAAGAAAATACAGGAGTAAATCTTTGTATTTAGAAACAATTGCAAGGATATGATAGCAAAAGCACAGGCCAAAAGAAAAAAAAAGATAAATTGGAGTGCTTCAAAATTAAAAACTTTTGTGCATCAAAAGATACTACCAAGTATATGAAAAGCCAACCTAAGAATAGAATGAAATATTTGCAAATCATATATCTGATAAGGGATTAATATCTAGAATATATAAAGAACTCCTGAAACTCAATAACAAAAAGCAAACAGCTTAATTAAAAAACTGAACATAATAAAAAAAAAACTAAGCAAAGTACTTTCTCTGAGAAAGATATACAGATTTCTAATAAGCACATGAAAAGATGCTCAAAATTATTAATCATTAGGGAAATGAAAATCAAAGCCACAATGAGATACTAGTTCACATCTACTAGGATGGCTGTAATTTTCTTGTAGAAGTTGGAAAATAACAAGTGTTGGTGAGGATGTGAAGAGACTGGAACTCTTGCATTGCTGGTGGGAGTATAAAAGGCACAGTCTCTGTGGAAAACAGTTTGGCAGTTTCTCACAGAGTTAAACACAACTACCATATGACCCAACAATTCTACTCCTACATAAATATCCAAAAGAATTGAAAGCAAGGACTCAGATATTTCTATATCAATGTTCACAGCAGCATTATTCACAATGACCAAAATGTGGAAACAACCCAAGTGTCCATCAATAGATGAATGGATAAACAAATTATCTATCTATCCATATAATATATATTATATATATATATATATATAGACACACCACACATATACACACAGACATAGACATACATACACAATGGGATATTATTCAGCCATAAAAAAGAATGAACTTTTGATCCATATTGCAATATGGATGGACCTTGAAAACATTATGCTTAATGAAATAAGCCAGACATAGAAAAACAAATATTGTATGATTTCACTTACATGAAGTATCTAGAATAGGCAAATTCATAGAGAAAGATAATAGAATAGAGGTTACTAGGGGACAGGGAGAGTTATCATTTAATGGACACAAAGTTTCCATTGTAAATGATTAAAAGTTTTGGGTATAGATAGTGGTGATGCTTACACAACAGTGCAAATGTATTAATGTCACTGAATTGTACTTTTATAAATGGTTAAAATATTAACTATTATGTATATGTATGTGTGTGTGTGTGTGTGTATATATATATATATATATATTTCACCAGAATTTTTTCTAAAAGAAGCACTAGGTATGCTTGTAAAATTGTTTTTGATCATTAGGCAGAGGGATAATATATCTCAGTCCAATGCTCAGTTTTTGGACGTTTCTAATGGATAAGGATGTAGTTTAATATTGTTAAATTTACTTAGTTTCATAGTCAGACTTTACCTCCAAACCTAGTGCCTTAGAATTTTCAAAGAACTTACATACATTGTAACAAATTCAATCTTCACACCCATACTGAGCAGTGGACATATTTTTTAGATGACAAAAATGTGAGGCTCAGCAAGGCTAAATGACATGTTCAAGTAAGAATTAAATAAAATAATCCATGTAAAATATTTAGCATAGTGTTTGGCACAGAGCAACTTATTCAGGAGGCTTTAGCTATTATATTATAATAACAAGTGGGTGGAAAGCCAGGGGCAGGCAGAGATCCTATTCCCAGAATCTCCTCAGAAGCCAAGGGGGCTGCTCCAGCAGCAATTATTTTAAAAATCCAAACTACACAAAGTCCATGGGTCAGCTGCACCATCCCTGGCGCATGAAGGAGGCTATCCATTATTTTTATTTTATAGCCAATTCAGTCCTGTCTGATGTACACATTGCCAGCTATGAAATAGGCTTAATCTTTTAATTTTCTCAAATATAGGTGCTTAAATGCATTTATCTTGCCCCGGATTGCTGCATCTCTGTTTCATGACGTGAAAGAGCAAAGCAACCAAAATTCTGTGGTGTATGTTCTGGGCCCTGATGAGTTTTTCTAGAATAATGTATCTAATTATATAACCTGTTTAAAAAAAATTAAGCATTAAAACTCAATAAAGCCATGTCTACAGATATTAATCTGATAGATATTCCCCCTGAAACTGCACAATCCCTGTAGGCCACATGGCTTCTCAATAATGCACCGAAGTTTGGTGTTTGCTGTACACCAGGACCCTGATATGCCCACAGCAATGTGTAAAATTATCTGAAGGGAAGAAGGTCCATAGCCCTAAGTACATTTGTTTAGACTATCCTAATAATGGATTCAGAAACAGTCAACTTTGACAGTGAACATCACCCCCAGATAGCCCGTGCTTTCTAGAAATCAAGACAATTATTCAATCAGCTGAAGGCACCAACATTGTGGGATTGTTTTAGGTTATGGGAAGGTGGAAAAGAGCAAAAAGAGAGCCATTTATTTTGTAATTTATAAAGACCAAGATAGTGATTGCTCATCCTTTTGTCCAAGGGACCAAAATATAAAGTTATGCCACCATTTCATGTCTTTCAAATGTGACAGAACTACTCTCTTCTAAAAATTTAAGCACTGTTTCACATGTATTTCAAGTGAAATTATCATAGCTCAGTTTGGAGCAAACAGTTTTCCTAGTCCAAACTCCAGTCCAACACGACTCTACTCCCCCAGTTCATGTGAAGGACAAAAACACTGCATAGATTAAGTTGCCCCACTATGTAATTTCTCTACTAATTGCATAAGAACAAACAATTTTAATCCTTTTAAATATAATTTGTATATACAATAAAACCCAGATCAGCCAAAATATTAAGAATTTAGAGTTCTGGTTAATTAAATCCTCTGACGTAACTTAGGGGTCACCAGAAAATACCTTATTTTATCAGCCTTGCTTGTGATTAAAAATTGTGCTACATGCCCAAATCCACGTCATGCCTTAAGCAACAGGTTTTAGCCACCATAGTTACACACAATTCCGCTGCCCCTGAACACTACAGGGTGCTGCACATAGGTTGTTCGACGGAGATAAGACTTCTGCGCAGCACTCTCCCAATCTCCATATTCTTCTTGGTTACTTACTATAGTCTCATCGATGCCGTGTGAGAAGAATTTTTAAAAAGTGGTCCAAATTCATTAACTATACAAAAATACATTCGCCCATGAAAAATGGCGTTATTGTTTTAACAAAATTAGGTAAGTAACATGTCGACTATGTCAATGTTATGCCCAGTAGAAAATAAGGCTCATACCCAATTTTTAAATGTGAAGCATTTTAAACTTAGAAGCACTAAAATTAAAGAAAGGGTTTCTACAGATGAAAAGGTTTCTAAGACTGGTATAGGAATGACAACTCAGATTCGGGTAAACCAGTAAATTTAGCTTACGTCAATGTTCCAAAGGAAGTCAAGACAGAGAAATAGTTCAGAACTACTTAGAGAGATCAGGGAAGGACCGAACCACTGCACTGACAGAAACATAGTCTCTGACAAAATACACTCCTGTCCTTAATATGGATATCAATTTCATAGGGAATATACCTTGCTCTAAAAATCCTGCTCTAGAAAAATCAAATTCTGATAGTTTAAACAATAAAATTTCCTTTCATTCAGGTATCCCAAAATCGTTGGTAAAACCAGGTCTGACTAATTTGTATCTGAGGAATTTTCAAAGTCAGTCCTTAAAATGAGCCAATTCCTTAACATCTCTATTCCTTGAAACCTGTGAAATCTGACAGGCATCCTACCTTTCCTCACAAGGAAGGTGGTAATCTACCAAATGCAAAAGAATAATCGATAGCATTAAGCAATTAAAATAGATGTTAAAATTCACTAGGTTTGTTTTTATGCTACTTAGTAAGTAAGCTTCCTTGCTGAGGATTTTAGTAAAGTGATTTATATTTTATTATTACTTTAAGCACATTAAAATGCCTTTGTTCACTTTATAAACCCTCTACACAAAGAAACCGCTGCACTCAGATTTGTTGCACTCAGATTTGGTGGTTAATATAATCAGGTTAATATGTTAAAAAGAACTTGACACGGAAATTATTAATGAGTAGAACAAGGTCACTACTTCTGAGCTGAGGTCACTTACAAAGAATACACAAATGAAATTAAGGTTGACTTTATTTACTTGACTATCTTCTTACATTGGATTCCTTTGGCAACATATCTTTAAACATTTAAAGCCCTGTTTACAAGGAGGCTCTGAAAGAAGCTTCAAACCATTATGTCCCTAATTGAATTCCCCAGGAGTCCAGTAAACTCAGAGGAATAAAGAAAAATCATAACATTTGCTAAATCATCTCAAAACATATTTCACTGCAAGGTTATGTGACCTGTTTCTGAGGTTCAAAGATGAATGAGAAAATACTACTGAATGCTTCATTATTTAAACTCAAATCCAAAGGAATCTTACCTATTAGCGGTGAGCTAATTAAGTCAGCCCCGTTTTAACTTTTCTTCCAGGAGAAATCAGACAACAAACAACAGTAACATTTTATAGTGTATGTGACCATTGTCCCAGAGCATGAAAGTTCCCAGAGGAGGAGGAAAGGGTCTTTAACCAAAGACAATTATTCACAGTCAAGTTATGAGAGAGCACTGTGGTCCCCAGGGAAACTAGCACTCTATCTGTGAATTCAGAACAAACCAGGTGGAAAAAGAGAAAGCAAAAGTTTTTAGCAACCAGTGAGTTTTTGAACATGCCCCCCCCCCGTTCCCAATTAACTTCCCAATTCGAATTTTATGTGAAAATCCACTTTTATGGGTCGTTTTATTCGTAGCTCCTTTGTATGCGCCTGTGTTTGCTGTGACTACTAAGCAAAAACATGGGGATCTTAGCATTTCCAAAAGAATGTTAAATTCCTCTCTACTTACCTGGTTTGTATGTTATTCCAGGGGGGAAGAGGAAGCCCTGCTGGGCGGCAGCGGCAGCTGCCAGGGTCCGCTGGTCATGTGGAAAAATTGGGATCATGAGCGGAGGCATGTGACCCTGAACCTGCTAAACAGAAGAGAGCCTATGATCAGACAGAGAGCAAATGTATGCCAAGAAGTATTTGTTTTTCACTCCTGCGGCTGTGCTGGTACCCAAACAGCCACCCACTTCTGACCTCATTCCAAATCTGCTCCCTGAGAAAATACAGGCGAAAAGTACCCAGTCGCTGTTCTTAGATCCCATTAGCACTCCAAGGACACAACCTCCTTGTGAATTTGCCTCATCCCTGCCTCCACCAAATTGTGGGGAATGGTCTTCTTTTATCTTGACTCTTTTCCTTTTCCTTTTTTTTTTTTTAACAAAACAACTGGTGGAAGAAGTAAGTTTGCTTCGTACACCGTGCAATGTTGAAAGGTTTTGCCCTTTCACCTGCTTTGCATTCTGCCCTTTATTGGGAAAACGGTGTTTAGTATCCTTGGTCAGAAAATAAGGTCTAATTTTTATATATTCCCAAAGCGGTATCTCCCCAGTTTAGTGTCTTATTTCAAAGCCTTACCGCATTATGTTAAACATATAGTTCTTCAGATTTAAGGCTACTACACCTTGGCTTCCAATTAAACTAATATTCTTTGCCATACACACCTCGATGTAACATATAAATTGCTTGTCTGGCTTAGCAGTTTTACAGCTTTATGCACTACCATGTGGCTCAGTAATTATGGAGTTGTATTCAGAAAGCATTTCATAATAAATCCTACTATATCAAATTTCATTTGACCTCAATAAATGTATCAAACAGCACAAAAATGCAAAATAGAAAATCTTCTCTCTATATCAGTATTTGTATTCTATATAAAGAAAATAAGAGCTATGACAAAATCATGCCTGTGAAATCACATTTTAATTTCCTAGCTCCCTTTTTTACTCCATGCATGCTAACCTGATTCCAGGAGAGCATCACAGGAAGGTTTTGTCCTGGCTTTTAGTGCATGAGTTTATAGGCTGAACTACAGGACTTTTGTTATTTAAAGATCAAAACTAGGATGTCCTAACAGAAGTGATCTTTAAATTCAAAATGGGTCTTTGGGCTCTTTACTCATATTTAAAAAAAAAAAAAAGCTGCATTATATCCTGTTTAAGATAAAAACATTTACCAGTAATTCTACTAAACCCAAACCTTTCCCCTGTTTAAATTCTTAAATCTTCTCTCTAGGCAAAATTCGGATACTGGCTGATGACCCTGTTTACATAGCACCAACTTGCCTTGTCCTGTCCCTGGTCCCTCCACAGCCAGGCACATGGTGCAAAAATGCTTCTGTGTGGGTCTAAGAGGTTTCATTTACCAACAGTTTTTCTCTAGGGAAAGCCCTAAGATGTGGGTTAATAAAGGGCAAGCAAAAAATAAACACTTTACAGTATTTTTCTGAATTCATTTCTCAGGAAAATCAACTTATAATAAAAAGGTCTTTGTGCAATTACTACCTTGCCAGTGGGGCGTGAAAGAAACTAGCTTTGGGCAGCTATTTCTACCATTTTAGCTGAGGTAAGCCCGAGTCTTGTACATTAGAGGACAAACTTAGCCTGCGTAAATTGGAGCTGATCCCCTAGTACCCAGGTCTTGCCTTTAACCCTGAAGAAATGCACTAGGTTTGCTGTTCAACTCCAGCTTGCGGTGACCTGATGCAAACCTGAGATGTCAAAGATGAGGGCACTGTTCTATGTCAGAAAATAAAAGTCTTTTTTGTAGGTGACTGTTGTTCAGTGCAAGAGTAGATCAAAGGAAATCATTTCATTTACTTCTAGAAATATGGTTCCTAGCATGTACCTAGAACAGCACAGATGCTTCATGCTCTAAAGGAGAACAAGAAAATGAGAAGTCTAGGCATCATATTTAGTCTTTCCTTCTTTTTAATGAACATTTATTAAGTTATTCTTACGTTCTTGAGAAATAGCTGAAAAAATGGGGGCTATTTAGCTTGGAAGAGAGAAGATACAAGGTTATCTTCATATGGCAAAAGAAGCAGATTAAGTCTGAGAGGTTAAAAAGGGTGGAACAAGACTCCGAAGAAAGAGATTTTAGGGAAGCTTAACACAAAGAAGAATTTTCTAAAAATGAGTTATTCAACAAGCACTCCGATTAAAGAGGTCATGTGTGTCATTTCCTTAGAGGTGGTCGAGTAAAGGCCGTATACCCATACGGTAGGGATAATTTAGAGGGTAAGCATAACTAAAACCTGAACTAGGTAATGACCTATAGAGCCTTTTCAACTTTATGATTCTGAGTTTTTTCAAACTCAGCATTAGGAAGATAATGTGATGTAGTCATTCCTTTATTCATTCGTTCACCACACATTTGTTGAGAATCTACTATGCCTACAAAGGCTTTGCTGTCAAACATCTCAGATCTTAAATCTATGCACTGCCATTTCCTTGGCTGTGTGATCGTGAACGGTTACGTAACTTTTCTGTAGTCTGACTCTATGTCTTCATGTAAAAGGCTAATGATACTACCTTACGTGGTTATTGTGAGGATTAAATAGACCAGAAAAGTAACACTTGCAGCACAGCGATTGGCACATAATAGGCACTTGGGAGATGTTAGGGCCTTGCTTTGTTCTTAAAATAGTTGGCATATTCAATTCTAGAAAATTATCAAATTACTGAAAAGAAAAAACAAGAAATAGCGGCTCTTACCCATAACTCTACTTCAAAAAAGAAAACATGAACCAACTAAATAATTCAGTTTGACAGGCAGAGGCTTGTCATGTTCTTAGCAGACACCAGGCCTCACAGAGCATTATCCCATCCCAAGTATCTAGAAAATCATGAAAAAGAGGTGGGATTAAAAGGATCATGTGAAGATGGCATTTGGGAACTTCAGTGTTATTCATTAAACAGCATCTTAGGATGAAAACATAATTTTACTTCTACATTGATGCCCAAGCTCTTCAGATCATGAGACAACATAAACGCATCAATGGCAATTAAGCATCAGACCTTGATTCTTGAACCTTGGTGTCTGAAGATATTTCTTTTGTAACTAGCTATGTACATGAGATAACTAAGTAAACCATCTAGGGCCACCTTCAATGCCAAAGAGCTGTAGGTGTTTCATATTAACATAAGTTGTAAGAATTTAGGGAAGTTCCTGGGGCGCCTGGGTGGCTCAGTCATTAAGCGTCTGCCTTCGGCTCAGGTCATGATCCCGGGGTCCTGGGATCGAGCCCCGCATCGGGCTCCCTGCTCTGCGGGAAGACTGCTTCTCCCTCTTCTACTCCCCCTGTTTGTGTTCCCTCTCTCGCTGTGTCACTCTCTGTCAAATAAATAAATAAAATCTTAAAAAAAAAAAAAAAGAATTTAGGGAAGTTCCTTCCAACCATCGCCATCTACAAAGCAGGATAGGTTAGAAACTTTCAATGCTAACTATTAATTCAGAGGCAGTTTCAATAAATTGAGGGATAAAGTAAATAAGAAGGGGGGCAGAAGACATTGTGAAAGCAAAAGTGCTGATAGAATCAGAGTTGGAATAGAGCTTAGAGTTGATCTAGCCTAGTAGTTTTCAGAGTGTGGTACCTGACCAGTATCAGCAATGCCTGAGAATGTCATAAAAGCAAATTATCAGGCTCCACCCCAGACCTATGAATCAGAAACTCTGGGAGCGGGGTCCAACAATCTAATATTTAGACTAAAATTTAATCCAGGGCCATGATTCTCAAATTTTAGTGTATATCCAGTTCAGCCAGAGGGCTTATTAAAACAAAGACTGGCCGTCCCTACCCTTGGAGCCTCTAAACCAGTAGATCCAGGTGGGGTCTGAGAGGGTACTTTCCTGGCAAGTACCTAGGTAAAGCTGGTGCTGCTGGTCCAGGGACCACTCTCTGAGAATCACTAATCTAATTCAAACCTCACAAATTACACACAAGGAAACAGGTGGCTAGAGAAGCTAAAAGACATGGCCTGAGATCACAGTGCCTATGACAGGGCTGGATCTGGAATCTAGAACTGTTCATCACCCTGACCAGTGCTTTTTCCACTACATCGCATGGACTTCAGTGATAGAAAAGAGAACTCACATGTGTATGCTGTTTGGGTAGAGAAAATCTGGAGGTCTGCAACCAAAAATAATTTTCTATTTCAGAGGTGTATTGTTGGAGTATGGATAGTATGTCATTTAGTTTCAGTTTGTTCTTTCTTCTCTCTTATTTTGTACCCAGAAAAATTTGATCACAAATCTACTGTCATTAATTCCAATAACTTATTATAATACATTCATTAGCAGTGATCATTTAGCTCCAATTGATAAAATTGCCCTTATTTTAAGTAAAACAATGATGTGAAAAATCAAAGTGCCCCTTATTAAAGACAAGCCAAGATAGCCAGTAGCAATTAGAATCTAGGCCAAGAGAAGATGATGAAGTGCTCCTCTTGTACCTCTAATTACAGAAGTAATAATAGTGATGATGATGGGAATGCTAATCATCTTCTTCATCACAGCCGCTAGTATTTTCCAGCATTTCCTATATATCAAGCACTGAGAAAGTGATTTACATGCTCTATCTCATATAATCCTCAAAACTCTATGAGATATTTACTATTATTCTCCTCTTTCATTTAATGAGGATAAAATCACGAGAGGCTCAGTAACTCGGCCAACTAAGAAGTGGTAGAGCCAGGATTCAAGTCCAGTTTGTCAGGCTCAAAGTCTACACTTTTTTTTTTTTAAAGATTTTTTATTTATTTGACAGAGAGAGACACAGCGAGAGAGGGAACACAAGCAGGGGGAGTGGGAGAGGGAGAAGCAGGCTTCCCGCGGAGCAGGGAGCCCGATGCAGGGCTCGATCCCAGGACCCTGGGATCATGACCTGAGCCGAAGGCAGACGCTTAACGACTGAGCCACCCAGGCACCCCTCAAAGTCTACACTTTTAAGTGCCATATTATATTAACCATCAAGTCATCTTTTGCTAAACAAACCTAAATGAGATAAGGAATATAATTCTTTGTAAGAACAATTGACTGGAAGTTTGATAAATATAATTGTAAATTTGCATGCGTTTGGAATAAA